TGGCTGTCAAGCACATGCAACTATAAAGGCTGCCACATAAACCAGGCTGCTCTCCTCAGAGACAGCATCACCGTGGGTCCCAGAAATCCCTCATGATGCCCTGGGAGTAGGCAAGGAACCAGGAGGCTTCAGTACCACACTGAAGAATGCTGCGACCCAACCACACATTCACTGAGTGCAGAGTCTTTAGTATGGCTTTTCACTATGGAAAGGATAGTTCATACCCCAGTGGTCTGCGACTTCTGGTGCATGTGGCACCTTGTGGTGAGGTGTGGCAGGGAGGGCCTGACACATTTCTATCAGTATTCATTTGTAAAGGTTAGAAACAACACTCCAGGGGACCCCCTGATAGAGGGAACACAGACTGTACCAGAAAGCCTGAGTGTATGGCACAGCCCCGTGATCCCAGGACTTGGGAGGCTAAGACAGAGGATTCCAAGTTTGGAGCCAGCTTGGGCAGTTCAAGTTCAAAGCCAACCTGGACTACATGATCAGACCCTGTCTCATATCTGCTCCAAAAAAGAGGAGGAAGGAGAGAAACAGGTTCCAGGAAGGGGAGGAAGAGATACTAGGAAGAAAACAGGGTATGCTCCGAGGGACTCAGTTTCTCTCCTCTCAGCAGCTGACACCAGAAGACTGAAGTCAGGAAAAAGCACTGACCTGGCCAGGTCATACAGACAGAGCCCAAGGCAGACAAACTTGTGAGACCTTCCCTGGCTGGAGGCACAAAACATACAGGCAGCAGGAGCCTGGAAAGAGGAGGGAACACACACAGCCCCCTAAGGCCTCCAATTGTCTCAGGTCTGAGGACAAGACTGAGGCACCCTATAAGATGAAAAGGCAGCTGAGCATGGCAGCACATGCCTGTAATCACAGCACTTGGGAGGCTGGGGCAGAAGGATCACCATAAAAGTTCAAGGCCAGCCTAGGTTACACAGGGAGTTCAAGACCAGTCTGAACTATACAGTGAAATGCTGTTTCAAAAGAAAAAGAAAAAAAAAAAAAAAAGGAAAAAGGCAGCAGCATGGCACAGCTGGCAAAGCACTGAGGATAGCTGTACCATGTGCCAGCAAAAAGGGTGGGAGGTGACACCGGGCTATGGACACAGGATGGAGCATTACCTGTAGAACAGTCCATGTGAGTCAGGCTAGGCTCGGTGGTGGCCTTCATTTTCTTGCTGGAGTGTTCTGAGGTAGTGGAAAAGACCAGAGAAGGGTTTGTGGCCGAGAAGCAGGAAGAGTTTGCATCAAGGCTACTGTCTGGGGCCCGGACACCCTGCTCCACCTTTCTTTTCCGGGAAGGCAGGGCTACCGAAGAAGGGGTCACTGCTGATACAGCCTGTGCTCTCCCAAGCAGGTAGCAGCCAGGGATGGAGTGCTGGAGCAGGAAGTGGTCTATGCGGGCCTTCAGGGCAGGGTGTGGCAGGGGCTGGGAGTGTGGAGTGAAGGCTATGCCTGTGAATGGGTCACTGGGCACTCGACCCCATGTGGCCTCACTGCGGTTACACTTCTCTAGGGTGCTCTGGTCGATCACCTTGCCTGAGGGCAGCAGCATTGGGCAGGGCATGATCTCTAGGGTGATAGGATCCAGAAACTCCTCTGGCACGTCCAGAATCACTTCAGCCATCTCTCGCAGGCCAGAGGGGGCCTGCTGGACCTCAGACAGGCTTGCAGGGTCGCAGTCACTCTCCATGGGCAAGGCTGGCGTCTGCAGGGCCAACTCCTGGGGTATACTCTCTGAGGCCACCAGCAAGACACTGTCTATCACTTCCTGAGAGCAGGTCTTGGCTGGCTGACCCCACACCTCCAAGCGCTTGATGCAGGGGACACCATTGCCTGTCACATGGGTGATACAGATCCTGAGGTGGGCCACGTGGCAAAGGGAAAGCGCTCCTTTATTCCAGAGGTCCTGGACCACAACTGCAGGGGAGGGGGGTGGTGTGATTTCCAATGGGCTAAAAGGTGGCCTGGCCTTGAAACCTCGGTGGCTAAATACCACTTGGCTCTGGTTCTTCAGCAAGACTTTGCCTACCAAGGTGAATGCCTCCTTGTTGGGCACAGAGGACTCGGAGAGGCCTGGGGGCTGGCACTCGGGTGTACTCCAAGGGGCTCTGCTAGGTAAGGTGGATGTGTACATCTCCAGGCCCGTGACATTCTGGCCACTGCCAGCTGTGAGGTCTAAGTGAATTCTACAGATTTCCACATTAAAGGGAAAGGAAACTGTCACGTGCACTGGAGGTTTAATGAAATACTCTGTCCTAAAACCATGGCTTCGCTTTGTGAGGTCTTCAGAGATGAGATTTTCTACTTCATAACCATCAGCTGATATCTAGATTTAATGATAAATATGATAAATTATAAATCATAAATACGAGACACAGATTCAAATGAAGACAATTGGTTTTGAAGAGCTTGTCACCTTAAGAAAACCTCTTTAAAGATAATGTCTGAAGTTCTTCACTTAAAACTAATTGTCCTTAAATGTTTTGGAGGTACCCAAGACTAGGTCCAAAGTAACTGTGTTCCCAAATGTGAACCAACCTTAAAAAATGAGCACTAACCAGGAGAGCTGGTATGCACCAGCAATTCCAGCACTCTGGGAGGCCGAGTTAGGAAGATCGCTACAAGTTCAAGGCCAGCCTGGACTACATAGTGAGTTCAAGGCCAGCCTCAACTACATAGCAAGACCTTGTCTCAAAAAAAGCCCAAAATAACAACAAAGAACCTCCTGCCACAGACACAAATGAAAAACAAAACAAAACAAAAAAAGCAATAAAAATCTCCCCAACCCAACCAAAAATCCTTAATGTCTCTGTGAAGATAGAGCACATATACTAGTGATGTTTTACTTCAGAAGACATAATCATGCACTTCTAGGAGAAAACAAATATGCTCACTAAAGTTCTTAATTTTATGAAAGGATAAAGAAAATGTGTTATATATACACAATGGGTTCCTACTCAGCCATAAAGGTCAACTTTGAGTCATTTGTGGGAAAATGAATGCACTTGGAGACCATAATACTAAGTAAAACAAACCCTACACAGAAGGTTATGTATCACATGATTTCTCTTATATAAGAAACCCAAAATATATGGGGGGCCGGGGAGATGGCTCAGTGGAATAAGCGCTTCCCTGGCAAGCGCAAGGGCCTGAGTTCAATCCCCGGTTCCACAAAAAAAAAAGAAACCCAAAATATAAATAATTTAAACAGAAAAACACACGATAAATGAAGCCAGGCTTGGTGGTGCATGTCTACAATCACAGCACTTAGGAGGCTGAGGCAGGAGGATCATAGCAAGTTCAAAATCAGCCACAGCTATGCAGTAAGCTCAAGGCCAGCCTTAACTCAGTAACAAGACCCTGTCTCAAAAAAAGACGAGAGAGACAGAGAGGAGAAGAGAGAGAGAGAGAGAGAGAGAGAGAGAGAGAATAGGAGAGGAAAGGAGAGAGAGAGAGAGAGAGAGAGAGAGAGAGAGAGACAGAGAGAGACAGAGAGAGAGAGAGAGACAGAGAGAGAGAGACAGAGAGAGAGAAGAAAAGAAAAAAAGAAAAGGAAAGGGAAAAAAAGAGTACGGGAAGCTGGGTATGGTGGTGTACACTTGTAATCCCAGCACTCAAAAGGCTGAAACAGGATGATTGAGTGGACTACATAGTAAGAGCCTGTCTCAAAAAAAAAAAAAGCATATGGAAAATTTCAGTTAGTGAATGAGCTTTAAGGTGTGATTTGTAATTTCCTTTTTTAATGTTTTATTTAATATTAACAAAATTTTTAAAGAGAATACAAACTGGTAAAAAAAAAAAAAAGAAAAACATTAAAAATGATACAAAATTTCACTAAAAAATAGGAATTCAACAATGATTGTTATATTACATAATGTTATCTTCAAATTAGTTGTTTAGGGATGGGGAGATGGCTCAGTGGAATAAGTACTTTCCTGGCAAGCGCAAGGGCCTGAGTTCAATCCCCAGTTCCACCAAAAAAAAAAAAAAAAAATTAGTTGTTTAGATTACCAGATATAAACATATAAAATTGGTTCAAAAAAAAAAGTTGTACGAAATTTAAGAGAAGAAAAAAAGAAAAAAATTTAAGCATTAACTGTTTCCAACAGACTAGCAGAAACTAGTACAATTATATAAGCTATCCTGCATATATACATAAATATATTTTCTTCCCTCCCTCCTTTTGTCCTTTTCCTCATCCCACTTTTTCTTTCCTATTGAACAGATTCTTTCCCTTTCACGGTGCCTACTGTATTATTTCAGATTTTATTTACTCTTTCAGGTTCTTACACTAGCAAGACAACAGAATGTTTGCACATACGATCTGATTTATTTTACTTATCAGTATGGTCTCTAGTTGCATCCATTTACCTATAAAAGCCTCAAGTTTATCTTTTTTTTTATAGCTGAGTAATTTTAAATATCTTCATCTGAAGGGATTATTCTAACAGTCTGAGAAAGAGTATACACTGTTCCAAGCCTAAATTAAATTAGGGCAGGGCTTCCTTCCCATGACATTCCCATATACCCTATCCCATGCTATGGGTAAATACTTCTGCACAAAAAGGGATAGAAATTTAATACAAATAATATACACCAATGAATCCAAACAACAAATACAAACCATTATTTCCAGTAGTAGAAATTAACAAAAGCTGGCCTTGATGATATCTGTGTAATTCCAGCAACTCAGGAGGCTAAGCCAGCAGGATCAGAAGTTCAAGGCCAACACTCAGGAAGCTGAGGCAGGAGGACTACCATGAGTTCAAGGCCGTCTAGGCTACATAGTGAGTTCAAGGCCAGCCTGGACAACTTAGCAAGACCATATCTCAAAAATAAAAAGGCTGGAGTTGTAGATCAGTGATAGAATACCCTGGGTCCAATCCTCAGAACCACCCCTCACCACACACACTAAAAAACCTGGGAGGGAAAGTATTTCTACCTTTGTTACCACTATGGGTGGAAATAAAATTGATCATCAGCACACTAAAGATGGCTGTGCAAGATGAGTCACAGCTCACCTAGAACGATGCTCTGATTCCAGGAAGGAGCCTGCCCCAGACTCACCTATAAATATCATCTGATGTAATCTAAGGGTGAAAGTATACTAAACCTGAAGAAAATCCAGGAAAAAACATGAAAAATACATATTGCATATCTATGTGTATGTATCTGTTTTAGTTACCTTGTTGCAGTGAATTCTTGGTCTGAATTGTGGGAGGCAAAGATTTATTACCATCTTTGTGGCTCATAGGATAGCTTCCAAGCATCAGAAAAAATCTTAAACAAACAAGCTTAGTATTAGACAGGTTAAAATTCAATTGGAAACTTTGAGGAGCTGATTCCTAGGAGAAAAGAATCAAACACAGTAACAACGAAAATATGAAAACACACACATCCTTACAGTCTATATTTGCTTTGTATCTTAAACGTGATGCTGAGAAAAAAACTGGGCACTGAAAGACTGAAGGAGATTTCTAGCACAGGCCCCATTGGCTGGCTATGCTCCCAGTCCTCTGGCTGACAGCTATGCTGGAGACCATGTGGAGGTGTTCCTGTCAGCTCTGCATGGGGCTCCTCACAGGAAAGGGACAGCCACAAGCAGCTGAGCTCAGAAACAGAACAGAAGGCTTAGAAGGAAAGGGTCACACAAAATAATGACCATGGTACACAGCATCTTTGTCATTTAACAATGATCAATACAATTACATTTTCTTATTAAAACAAACAACTAGAAGAGTCAAAAACATCACTACTGAGATGTCTTTTGGGAGGTTTACTGAATTTTATTGACTCTACAGAGTAATTTAGGGAGCTATTATGGTACCTTTATGAAGGTACCTTTATAAAATTCATGAGTACAACATTTCTGTTCACTTGAAATAATTCAAGTTACACCAGATTCCTTTTTTTTTTGTGGAGCTGGGGATTGAACTCAGGCCCTTGCGCTTGCCATGGAAACGCTTATTCCACTGAGCTATCTTCCCGGCCCCCAGATTCCTTCTTGATAAATTAACAAATACTTAAAATAACAATATGGGGGCTGGAGAGATGGCTCAGTGGTCTAAAGCACCTACTTAGAACAAGCTTAGCAAAGCACAGAGACCAGGTTCAATCCCCCAGCACCACATGCCAGCCAGCCCTGCCCCCTGGTGGGCTGAGCTGGCCACACACACACACACACACACACACACACACACAAATAA